GTATTTAAGACACGATCTTAAATATAAGAATGTACTGTAAACAAGCCTTAATGCGCACTCAGTGCGCACTAGTGCAAGCTACCGAATTCGCTATTACATTCATCGCATATCGAATGTTGAGTTGTTTCAACATCTATCAGCAAATTATCCAATGAACAACAAGTAAGAATTATGTAACTATTATTTGGTGTTAGCTAGGTATGTTATAATATACTGTGCACATTATAAGGATACATTATATAAGCATGAATTGTAAGAACATCGTTGGAGTCATCAGAGTCACCGCGTGCGCGCCGATCGTCAGGTTAAAGCAACAGTTTAATGCGGCCAGGACATGGATGGTGACCAGTGGTATACCGCTTGGGATCGAAATTATCGCAGGAGGATTCATGAAAGTTTGGAATGTGTTGACAACCTTCGATATCTAGTAGTTTATGAGACATAAGAAAATTAGAAATATAAGTATATTTTTGTAAACATTTATGATTTTCTCATTTTTCACCTTCGCATAATAATTCTCAGTATTTGATTACTATCAATATCCCTAACAGCACGCGACGTACTGCGTATCATCCCATTTTCGTACTCATTGTACTGTGATCATCTGTGACGTACTAAGTTGAACGCTAGAACGTCACTTATAGTATCATTCGGTTTTCTTTCACGTGCGAATGTCAGATTTCACTCAGGGATACGGAAATGATACGTACGTTTTTCTATCGTGTGCGTACATTCTCAAGTTTGACTGAAATGATACGTACGCATTTGTATCGCGCGTGTATTTACTCAGAACGTACTCATTCGATCGCAGTACATATGAGAACATTCTGAGATGATCGCAATATACGCATTGCGATCTACTCAGAACGTCCTCAGAACGTCCCCGTGCTGTTAGGGTTATACCATTTTTTCGGAGAAAATAATCTCTTTAGATTTAATATTCGTACTTGTTTAATTTTGTGGTTTTTTTTTATTTCATTAAAATATTATATTCTTAAACGAAATATCATTTTTTAAAATGATGAAAATAAAACTTTTATTTCGTTCAAGGAAACCATGTCATTTGATGAAACAACACTATTGTTTTAAATAATATTTTTTAAAAGTTTCTCTCAAAATTTAGTAATTCGATTTGTTTAATTTGGATTTT